TAAAATTATCATCTTTATTTATCCATTATCTTCTCAAATGATGGGATTTTCATATTTGAATATTAAAAATTGTAAATTCTATAGTTCCCATGGATACATGTTAAGGACGAAGCCGTAAGGTAAAAAAGTTCTGTTAAGATGACGTGGCAAGGGAAAAAAAAATATGGAAAAAGGTCTAACCGGTGTAATCATCACACGTAACAATCAATAAGTCACACTTAATAGTCAATAAGTCACACTTAACAGTCAATAAAGAGCACTGTCAGCTTACATTGGATGGAGGGACGACATTGGCATTCTTTTGCGTTGTAGAGGGACGACATGGAGCCAATCCATATTAAAAGGTTTAGATTGCACTATTTTTTATAGTAGAGGGACGATAAATGGCATTAGCCCCTTTTTTATATTAGTTGGCATGAACCGAAATAAAAATTGATAGTAAATGTAATTATTATTTAAATAAATTCATTAAAATAACAACAGAGTTAAAATTAATGTTAAATTTTAAATTTTTTTATAAATTAATATAAAAAAATATAATAAATATACTATTAACTTTTTTTTATATATTAAAAAAATTAATTACTTAATATCACATACCTCTAAATTTTTTTATAAATTAATACAAAAAGTATAATAAATCTATTTACTTTTTTTGGATACATTAAAAAATTAATTATTTAATACCACATATCTCTAATTTTAAGTTAATTAGTACTAATTCAATCTTGTTCTAGTCTATTATCCTTGTTCCCAACCAGTAATGTGAGTATTCCTGATTTCTTGTTGTCGTCCTTTCCCCTCCGAGTATCGAGATTAATACTTTTCTACTGCTTCAGTCCATGCAAAATGCTTCTTGAATTCTTGAAATACGTCTGCTGTCCACAGGATGGTTCTGACACCAATTGATGGGGGATGCGTGGATTGCAATGTAACACATCTCCTTTGATGAATGGAAGAACATATAGTTTAGAAAATTTTGTTTCAAAGGCTGAATTAACCAGGCATGCACAATTAATTCTTAAGGATTAATGACATTATATGGGAAAGGTAAAAGTAGAAATTTAGGAATCATGGGGATGGTGGGAAGATATTTAGGCGAATCCGTGAACAGCTCTTCTTTTATAATTGAGATGGGGACAGCAGCTAAAGGAGAAGATTGAACTTGTGAAGAACGTTATTTCTTCTATCTTTCTTGCTTTGGGTCCCTCTCCCTTTCTCACCATTTACTTTAATCTCCAATCTGAAAAAAATATCATGTCCTAATAAATTTGGTACTTTGCTGGTATAAGCTTTTGAACGTATCATCCAATCGAATTAAACCATCTGCATCATTTTCTAAGCTTTTTTGTCTAGAAAAACGGGGCATTTGCTCAAAAGATGAAGTTTTCTGTTTTTGACTGTTAGTTTTGACTTTGTTGAATGCTTTGCTAGATTGTGCACAATGCATCTATTATGATTCCTAAAAGACATTTGAGTAGTTAAGAGTTTGAATTTTTATATCAAAAATTTCATGTTTAAATCGTGAGAAGGGTAGGAGGTTTGGAAAGAGAAAAACAATCCCCTTATTGTATAGCCTAACAACTTTGCTCTTTCCATACTGGTGGGTATCGCCTATTGAAGCTAAACTGAAATTTTTGAAACCAGCTGGAAGAGAACTTAAGTGACTAGGTGCATTGACCCACACCCTCTCCCCCCCAAAAAAAAACCCATATGGCCAGTAATTTTCAGACTTGTTGTATGTGTTGAAGTATGTTTCTTTTGTGAGTGTGAAGAATTAAGATCCCACATCGAAGAAATATAAAAGGAAAACGTAACTTAAATATGTGAAAATCCATGAAACTAATAAATTAGTTTTTTTTATTTCAATATGGTGTTGAAACATGTAATGGATCATTCAATGTTTCCCTAACAAGTGTATGCCATTGATAAAATTCTGCAATTATGTTCTTGGTCCAATATATTATCTTGGCTTTGCAACAACATTAAGTGTAAATCTCTTTACTCCTTGATCAAGGCACTTTTTGATCTAGTGATGCCCCTTTAAGTGACATTCGAGTTGATGTTCGAGATCGTTTGCTGGATTTGCTAAAATGAAAGTCTCTCCAATATCTTTGAGTATTGCCTCAAATTGGGGTTTAGAGATATTCTGTGAAGGAGGAAGAGACTGATTCTTGGAGTTCGACTTACTAATTTTTTTGTAATTGGATTTTGGTAGCAGCCTGAAAAGTAGTGTGTATATGAATTTTGGTATTATAGGTAATAAAATTCACATTTTACATAAAAAATTCAGCAATCATGTGCATATTAATGCTTAGTTGTGTTCATTGTCCTTAAATTGGTTGATATGACCTAGTTACTCCTAATCCTCCTTAAATCATTAGATTTGCCCTTTTAACTTCGAACAAAAGGAAGCTTCTTCAGGGAGTATCAAAGACTTTAAGTTCTGTTTCTAAAAGGAGAAAGGTATGTCTGGGCTGGATATATAGAACAAAAATGGGAAACAGAAGTAATTAAGCTGGAACGTGGCCTACTAATGTTCCAACACCATGAGAGATGCTTTAAAAGTTTTATATTTGTAAACAGTGTTGTGCCAAAATTTTTCCTCATGCCAACTATCTTATCAGTTGTAATATGATTGCTTGCATTGTGGTGATTAAGTTGCTTGAATTTTCCTTCCGCTGGCATTTCATGGTAATCTGTCCTTGGCTCAATCAGTATTAGAAATTCTAAATTTGATCTCCAACTATGACTTTAACACGTTCATGTTAAATATTTTGGAGGAAACCATTAGCTTAAATGTTACATGTGTTGCGAAAACGGGGTGTCACCTGAGCACACTAGAAACAACAGCAACACCAAAATCTTCCCCAATCTATTTGAAATTGTTAATAGCAAGCTAAATTGAATTCAAATAAATTATGGCAGCAGCTAAAAAATATGCAAAATAGTAGAAATAGCAAAGGCAAACCGACCACCATAAGAGACACTATTTTTATGTGGAAAACCTCAAAAATGGATAAAAACCACAGGACATCTAGTTTACTAAAAAAGCTTTACTATAATAAAAGAGAGTATACAATATCTTTTTCTAAGAAGGCATAAAAACAGCACCAAATAAGAGGAATAACAAGTTACAAACCAACAAAGAAAACAGGACCACAAGAAAACAAATCACCCAAAAATGAGCTACTGTTTTGGACACAAATTAAAACCTACAAAGTGCCAAACGAAAAACTGACCATTTAGAATGTAGATCAATGTCTTGTAAACACCCAGACAAAATTTTAACTCAATCCAACAATGAACTTTTGCAGATTGGACAAAGTTGCAAAACTGTGCACTGTACCAAATGTGCAGAATTCTCTTATGCTTTCTTTCCCTTTCTGCCCGCTGATCCACTCATGTGCTCTCCACTTTCTGCTGTCCAAATCAGACCTCTTGGTTTGTCTTAAGGGGCTGCAGAATATGGCTTCAAGTAGGCTTAGTCCACAAATATTGGCCATTTCTCCACAAGGGAGGGATAGGCCTTAACCCAACAACATGAAACACGAAGGATGGCTTTTACTTTCATAATTGTTCCAATGCCCCATTGTCTTTGTGGGAAACGACTTTGGGAAAAGGAAAATGGAGAATAATGATAGGGTCTCTACTGATTGTTAGAAGATAAAATTTCAGGCAAGAACTGCTTTCTGTACACCTTAATTTGATCAGAGTTGCTTTGCTTATGTCACCCTGAGTGTGATAAGGATTGGGAGAATCTTACTCCTTCATCCCATGTTAGAACTTATGAGTTATGAGAAATTCTTTTATAGTTGAATTTAATTGGTAATCCTAAAAGAAAAAGACACATATTGCCCTCCAAGAGTTAAGGTAGACTTGGCTGAACTTGCATTGTGCTAGTCCCATGTTTTCTTTTGTAACAAATTGACAGGAGTGTTTGATACGTTATTTCAAGCTCAGTTTAGATGGCATCCTTATTCTGATTTCTTTTAAGAAAACCAATTTTCTCTCCATGCATAAAGTTTGCAAATGTGTGTAACTGATGTAGTTTGTGATTAGTGTGATCACATTCTGTGAATGCAGTTCATGGAAGGAGGTTGCAACCTCATCGATTCAGTCATTCATTGATTGCAAATGTCCGAGTGCTTTAACGTAATTGAGAAGCCAGGGGCGGTGCTATTGGCTCGCAATCTATTCTTCCTGTTTTTACAATTAACAGATGGAGTGAGCAGTCAAACAGAGTTCTTGTAAATGAGATGAGTATTCTTCAATGTTGTTTGATACCATACATCTACGTTGAGATAGGTTTTTGGTCTTAGATAATGAAAAATGGATGCCTATGAGTTCCATGTTAAGGGTAAAATGGTCCTTTCTTGCCCAGACTAGCTAAAATTTAACCACAGTCCAGACTGAAAAACGGCAGATATTACTTGTTTTTCATAACAAAACATGCTCTTTACCCATGAATGGGCTAATGCTTTCTTATCAAGATACAGTTCAGTTTGAGATAACAATTTCTGTGTTCTAATTTTCCCATTCCTTCCAAAACACCATCCATATCTTCTCTTTGTTGATTGGATTCTCATTAAAATATTGCATTTCCTTCTGCACTTTTAATGGTTAGGAAAAGATGGCTCTTAGCTATCTGCTAACTGGAAATCTATCCAGTTATAGAGGCAAGGGTATGAAACTCTGCATAAAATGCCAGAAATGATGATGCAAAAGGTAGATGGTAACTCCATCATCCACTCATAATTATGAACCAAAATCAGAAACACCAAAGAATGACCTAACTGTAGCCTTATTTAGCACGAAATAATCTTGTAAATTAAACCCAATTGCGGAGTTCCCACAAAACTAGTGTTTTCCTCCTATGGTGCCAT